TGCTCCACCAGCCCCAGGTTAACATGTGAGCCATCACCAGGCACTCTTGGATCTGGACCGAAGTAATCCAGCATCGGTTTCATGGAGTAAGCCTGCAGTGTATGTTCTAATGCTAAAGGCTTGTTGGAAAAGTAAAGATCCCTTCCATGTGTAACAGGAGTCAGCAACAAGCAGTGTGAGCAGTGTGTGTGTTTTAAGGTTTGGCTGAGTGTGGGGAGCGCTACATTCCACAGCAGCTGAAATGTTAGCAGCCGATCTCCAAATACTTGTAGTCCGCAACAAAATGTGTATGTATGTATGAGAGTGTGTCTGTGATAGAGTGCGTGTCTTTCAGTGTTTGGCTGAGTGTCATGAGAGTTGCATTCCACAGTGTTAGCTGAAATAATGTATCTGGCATGTCAGCTGGCTTGAAAACTGAATAAAATGAACTTTTCAATCCATTCACTGCTAAACAACTTGCCACAATAAAATTATTCGGGATAATATTGTGTAAATCTGTTTCATGGCACTAAGCATTGTTAGCACATTAGTTATTAGCAAAAAATATATTTTCCGATTCTCACCTATGGGCAAGAACAAAGTCAAAAAGCTACAGAAACATAGTATAATATTTTTTTTTATAAAAATGAATAGGTTATATTTTCCTACATTCCTAATATGTGCTAGAGATCTCTCGCTACAAATGTTATCATCCTGTCATATATGCTATAATACCCCCGGCATAATGTCCATTGCCCAATATATATAATATATATATAATATAATATAATCAATTTGTAACACATTGTCACTATATATTGAGTCATATCTTGTTAGTTTTGCCCTTTTATACACAATATCGTTCTTTATTTTAAACTAACCTTTTTAATATGTATTAAATGCATTATATCTTTATCTTTTGTGTAATTATGTAATTATGTCCCACTCCCTTTAGAATTTAGGCTTCCCCATTCACCACTTTCTCTTTTTTGTGTGTCTGCCTTGTCATGTTGTAACTATTTGTTTGTTAGTCCACATAGATGTGTAAGTGATTGTGGTGGTTAGGGTTAGATGTAGCATTAGGGGTAGGGTTAGGGGTGGGTGTAGGGTTAGGGGTAGGGGTTGGGGTAGGGTTAGGGGAAGGGGTTGGGGTAGGGTTAGGGAGCCCTACAGATTTTCAGAATTCCGAAGTAGCGAATTGCTGAAGTTTAGAATTTCGGAAGTGCCGAACTGAACCAAATTGCTGAAGTATATGTATATACATCAGATATTTGCTGCTATGACTGATCTGAGGAGATGTATGCATGTGCAGGATGAGACTTTTATACCATCCAGCTGTGTTTGCTAAGGCTAAAACGCGAATGGTAAAATGGTAGATTTTTTTTTAATTGAGTTTCACATAGTATAAGAAACAATCAAAGTTGGAAGAACAAAACAAAATGCTTGGCAAGGCATATACATAGTGCCACACATAGGCACATCAAGGCCAACGTACATAAATGTTTAACAACCCTGTTTGGCCGGAAAGTCAGAGAATTAGGGTAGCGGGGTTATGAGCATCTCACATATCAGTTTGACAATCACAGAAAAAAAGCTCACTAGTGTTTATAAGAGGTAACTATATTGATATATGTGTATTTATCAATATCTCACTCCACTCAACTAATTTCTGTGCATGTCTATCTATCTACCAGTTTCCACCTCATCCCAATAGTGTCCACTCCTAATGGGTTATGTATAGAAAGTGTTATGTTCACTTCGTATGCGCTTTTCTGCCACTTTTCTCATTTGTTCCTATATATTCCCATATTTATGTAGATATTCTGCAATGAGCCTTTTCCATTATTTCATTTTCCTGTTCCATTTTGGCTCTTTTTTTGTTCACAAATTTGTTGCATCAGGTCTACAAAAAAGAGGTGCAAACGTGTGCCTTTTCTTTCCAGCAAATGTTTTCTCAACTCTCAGAGTTTTCTGAGACATGTAAGCAGCTTTCATAATGCTTGTTTTCGTGTAGGGTGCAAAACACGTCTTCAAATTGCTCATGCAGTTTTTCCCTTGCATTGTTGCTCATTTGTCTTATTTTGTGAATATAGTCTATAGTAAAATCGCCAGGAAAAAACAAAGGAGCACAAAATGTAAAAGGGGAATAAAAGGTGGTGTAAAAAAAAATATATTGATTAATGAAAAGGCCTAGAAACTCACGTTTAAAGAATGGAGTAACAATGCAATATACCGTAATGTATAATATGTTCATATTTTCTATTCTTACATTTTAAAATAATCACGGCAGTAGTGTAGTATTAACAATTGTACAGTAGAGGGAGTTACATGTACACCACACCACAGAGCCAGTACTGAAAGAATATTTTCAAATTATGTCACATAACTATAAAGTGTTTCATTCACACTAATGACTGTAGGATAATAGGTCAACACTCCCATTAAGGCTTTAAACTGGCACACAAAGTTTTTAGAACACTGTATAAGTTTGTTTCTAAGCTTTGACAACATACTGCATAGGTTTTCTTGCTAGGCACTTAAATCTAGGATTGTGTCAATAAAATAGTAAATTGAGATTTGTTTGTGGCATCTTTCACTACATTGGAAATTTGGGGCAAGTGACAAGAGAGTTGCAAATGTTACATGAGAACTATGAACTGCAAAATGGCACAGTTTGATAAAATTAGCAAATTCCTTGGCATTGATTGTCCTGATATATTGTTTGTTAAATACATTTCTTCATCCATATGTCAATGCAGTTTTATCAGCGATATAAAATTATAAAAAAGGAATATATACAGGTCATTCGTTATACACATACTTCAGACAAAAACTTTTGGGAGTGCAAAATGTAATTTATAAAAACAGTACCTTTATTGTTTCCTAGTTAAAATTGCGGGTGGGACCAGCTGTAGGTGGAAAAACACCACCATGATAATAGTAAAGTGTTTTATGACTCATGGACAAGGGTTTTGTCTCTTATGAAGTGCCCATGAGGCGTGTGTTAGCGTGATGATGTCTTCCCCACAATGATTTTTGGCTGAATAATGTGTGCTTTCTTATCTAAAGGCTTAGAATCTGTTATAGCCCTTGTGCAATAATTTCCATCTGTGATATGCAGATACCTCCAACAACCTGCATACCTTTGACATTTAATACACTACTACTACTATGTTAGTTTGTGTCATCTAATAAAAACATATAGATCGAATGAATTAAGGTACAGTTGCAGTATTTATTTGCCAGTGGTCTAACTTTTAAGGGTAACTGTCATTTCTACAAATTTACCCCATTCAACAAAATACTGAAAGCATCTATAGCTTGTGCTAATTTTTGTCGCTTACGTTTTTATTTTTTTATGAAATATTACATGTCTCAGTGATTTTATTTCGCTTTGTGTTTTGTATGAGGACATGCAGTAATTCCCATTTATTTTGTGTGTTAACTTTTCCATGAGGTGGCAGCATCCATTTATAAAGCCATATGTAAAATCCTTGGTAACCGTCTTCACATTTATCACCGTTGCTTAATAACCGACAAATACAAAACCTAATCTGTCTTGTACACAAGTTTAGTCCCTTTACTTTAACCTTTAAATGTTCTTGTTTGAAGTCACCTTCTCAATGAATTCCATGTGGCTGTTAATTTATGAAACAACATACAAGCCTGTACAAAAAACTGTGAACTTTCTGGAACACTGTAGGCACCATAACCCCTTCAATTGATTGAGGTGGTTATGGCGCCATGCGTCTGTTATTGTTATTGTTGGGTGCCGCATCCATAAATTGTTTACTCATGGTTTAATAGAGATTCTCAGTTCCTGGCAGTCTGAAACATGGCTCCCAATGATAATGCTAGAGCTTAGAGGTGAAGCTATGCGTCAGCCTTGTGCCATTTCGATTTATAGCAGAGTTGGAGCAATAAATGGTTTAAAACGCTCAGCTGACACTCTTGGCCTATCGCATGCAGCAGAATATATAAACATTGGAGGCCAGTCTTTAACCTGCCAGGGACTGATAATCTCTACTAAATAGTGATTGAACTGTTTAGTATTAATGCAGGACTCAGTGCCCATGCACTCCAGGCACAACTTCACATCGTTGAATTGGTTATGGTGTTTGCAGTGTTCTATTAAGGCCGAAATAGATGAACTGGCAACATAGCTGACTTGGAGAATTTTCCCAATTGCCTATTTTTGCCTAAAATGTTAAATGTATGTTGAATTTCTGACCATTCACAATTTAGTAACTAAATCTGATAGCGGTGACATTTCCACGCAGCTCACGTCGATTTTATTTAATAATTACTCCTTTAAATACTTTTCCATTTACATAAAACCCATTAAATGACTTCTTTAAAAATACTTCTGAGTAATAAAAAAACTAAGGAACTTGACTCTAATATTCAAGAGTCTGTCTGTCTGATTGCTAATTTCCAGGCCTCCAGAGCAGTGTGTTAATGTCATGGTGAGGGGGGGTAGTATTTCTCTTTGCTGAGTTCACTACTTTGCTCCAACATTATCAGCCCAATTATAATGGCTTCCACCATTTGTTTTTTGGCTGACTGAGCACATTTGAATCAAGGATTTTCTCCCCCAGGATGTATACAATATTTAATGCGGCTCAATATACCATTAAGCCAAGCCTTTGGAAAAATAATATTCTGTTCTAATGTTTGTAGACCTTGTTGACTGAAAATGATATTGTCGTAAATAGGGTTTTATTGGTTTAAAGTAACATGGAAATCATGAGGGTAGAGAAAAGGAACTGAAGTGATATAATACCAGTACAAGTACAACATATGGAATTAGAATGTGAAGAAATCTATGAACATCATTTTGTATAACTTTTTTGTAAACTGTGTTGTTTCCATTGGCATAGGAACCAGAGAAAATCTGGGTCAGAGGAAAGAACAGCCTTCCATAATATTCTAGCCTCATATACAGAGTAGTGATGTCCCGAACGGTTCACCGCGGACGGCGAACATATGCGGTAAACTTTGGCCCTGTACCTCACAGTCAGCAGACACATTCCAGCCAATCAGCAGCAGACCCTCCCTCCCAGACCCTCCCACCTCCTGGACAGCTCACTAAGAATACAGCTTCACAATGAATGTAAAATGGATGCTGTCCAGGAGGTGGGAGGATCTGGGAGGGAGGGTCTGCTGCTGATTGGCTGGAATGTGTCTGCTGACTGTGAGGTACAGGGTCAAAGTTTACCGCATATGTTCACTGTCCGCGGCGAACTGTTCGGCGAACCGTTCGGGACATCACTAATACAGAGCATACATTAACCATACTGTTTTCTTCAGGCAAAATGAATTATCAATAGGGAGTCTAGAATAGGATAGCCAACTATTTTAACTTGTTCTTCTTATCTTTCCTAAACATGGAAATATATGATCTTAAAGACTACATCAGATTTTCTGGGTGATCCCCGCCTCCACCACTGGTTCCTACGGATTCTTGGAGATAAAACTAAGCAATGCTCTTTCAATCGTTGTAGCCATTGCTAGGGATTGTCTGAAAAATTAATAAATTAGTTTATGGATTTTTTTTTCACATTAAAACAGTTTACCTACTTACAATATTGCGGAGGCATCATCACCACTACAGTACGTTTTAGTGGTTATGGTGCTGGGTGAGTTCCTTTAATTTGACGTTTGTCTCCGGGTGCTTCTTAACCATGCTTCGTTAAAGGTTTTTTTTTTGTATTGCATTGTCTTAAGCTCTGTTACTTTAATAGATTTTCAAATATTATATATATATATATATATTATACTGCCTTACTCAAGTTTGTTCTGTGACACTTAAAGAACAGTATTTCAGCATAACAACTACAGCCCCCTTTAGTAGTTCTATTGAAAGGCTTCAAAATTAAAAAAAAAATAAAACAGAATCCAAACTCCTGCTTTAGTTGCATTATAGAAACCAGAAAAGGCACAGGTACCCCATGGCGAACACAGGTAAGTGTTATAATGTTAATATATGGTGTGAACAACACAAGGTGGCTACAGTATATAGTATGCAGTAAAGTCGAGAAAGAAGAATGTGGTAGAGTTTTGCACAAAAAATATAAATATTAACTGAGTATTCTGCCATGTCAATTTAATTCTATTATTGGCAAAAAATGCAGATAAAAATTTAAGCACTTTTTTTTTCTTTTCTTTTTTTCCCCAATTTGTTTTTGGTTAGCTTTCATATTGTTTTTATGTCTTCTTTTATAGATCCACCACTCCCTAAACAAATATTTGTGGCAGAACATGGTCCGACGCCAAGATTGGGCTTCGAGAGAGTTGAGCATAAATATGGACCAATAAGGTAACATAATTTAATTATTAACTTAGTATCCTGTTAGTTTTTTTTCCAGGCTCTGATTCCATTGGCATGCATTTCACTGCTGATTGTGTTAAATAACTATCAAAGTGCATTGTATTCTTGATAACCTTATATAGTAATGACTCACTGACTAACTGTTGGGTGTTGATGAATTGTGCTGCCACGTCAATTAATCCAAGTCAGATTAGTTCTGAATACTGGTAACTTGAGAAGCTACTACTCTAGTTACAGAAACCTCTCAGTTACCTGTTCTATTAATGTAAAAAAATTGAACACAACTCTCTTTTATTAAAGGTATAAATCTTTCCATGTTTGCATTGTATCAATAGAGGTATTGTCCATTGTTTAATACGTACTTGCAGGCAGGGTAGGGCTGGCTACTTTTTGACCTGAGGGTGATTACAAAGAAATAGTCCAAGGACAAATACCTCTAGAGGCAGCACACATCTTGATCATCGGTTAGAAACCTGTTAACCTCAGATGTTGTAAATCCTGGTGAATTAAGATTAGTACAAGGCCAAGAAGGTTGGACATTAACCGCGGGCAGATCTAGAGCATTTGGTTTACAGCAAGGCAGAGGCAATCTGTTAGACATGTGCAATTAGTTTTGTTCCGAATGTAAATTTGGACAAATTTCGGCAATTCGGACATTTGGATGCTTCTGAATGTCCGAATTTCGGAAGTGCCGAAGTGCTTTGGATTTCTGAAAAGTGGCAAAACAAGAGATGGAGGGAAAGTTACGTGAATGATAACAGGAATCTAACTCTAACTCTACCCCCTAGTGGTTGTGGTGGTTAGGGGTAAGGGTAGGTTTAGGGGTAGGGGTAGGGTTAAGGAATTTCCAAATTCTTGCTTATGCACATTCCTACAATCTGTTAATTTGTTATACAGAACATGTATAGTCATACATATATGAATATGGGTAAGAAGGGAAGGTATGAGTGGAATTGAGAGTGATAGGAAAATGGACAGAAATGGAGGAATGGATGAGAATGATAGGAGAATGGAGAGATACTGAGGAATGGATGACAGTGATAGGAGAATGGAGAGAGATGGAGGAATGGATGAGAGTGATAGGAATATGGAGGGGATTGCAGAGTGGGAGAGACAAGTAAGAGGATTTTTGTGATAGGTAGAGAGGGAAGTGGCTCCACAGCCAAAAAAACTTAACATTTTTTTTATTTGAACAATATGATCATATCAAAATAATTTAATATTCATTCAACATATTGCTATCAACCATTGGTGGCATACGTGCAGGAGAGGAATCAAGTACTTCTTGGCTGTTCTTTGCTTTATTCTTATATTAAACAGAGTTGGGTTACGGAGGAGGAAAAATGTGATGTCACACTGTCCACCCACTACTAGATGCACCCTCTAGAAGAGCAGTGAGTGGAGATCAGTGACAGGCAGGCACATAGCATGTTTCTACGTTAGCACTTATATCACCAATGTTAGACAGCGATATGTGCAGTGGTGTATCCTGGTTTTGTGCTGCCCTAGGCATGACAAAACTCAAGCATCACCCCCACTCCACCTTCTAAATAAACATACACACTCACTGACAGACACATATACACTCAGTGTCAGACACACATACACTAACAGACATACACACTCACTAACAGACACACACTCTCACTAACAGACACACACACTTACTAACAGACACACACTCCCTAACAGACACACACATAGTAACACACTCCCTAACAGACACACTCACTAAAAGACACACACACACACTCACTAACAGACACACACTCTCACTAACAGACACACACACTTACTAACAGACACACACTCCCTAACAGACACACACATAGTAACACACTCCCTAACAGACACACTCACTAAAAGACACACACACACACTCACACACTAACAGACACACACACACACACACACACACACACTCACTAACTAACAGACACTCAGTAACAGACACACACACACACACACACTAACAGACACACACACACACACATTAATAGACACACATTTTTTTTTAAATTCAATCCCCTCAGCCTCCCTACCTTTGGGAATGCTGGGGTAGATTAACACGTTCCCTGGGGTCCAGTGGGGCTTCTGGGCAGCTGGCCGGTGACTGCAAGTGGTGAGGGAGCACTAATCCTCCTGTTCAGCTCCCTCGCACACCGCGTAATGATGCTGGAGCCGGAATGACGTCATATTCCAGCTCCAGCATCAATGCGGTGCGCGCGAGGGAGCTGAACAGGAGGGTAAGTGCTCCCTCGTCGCCTGCCCAGTAAGCTCCGCCGCTGCCAGTCTGGGGGGCCCTGAGGTGGCCACCCGGCCAGCTCCTGGGCCCCCCAGGACAAGAGGCTGGCAAGGCATTTGCCAGGGCGATTGGGGGCGGCTTTTTTTGCCGCTCTCCAGAAAGTGCCGCCCAAGGCAAATGCCTTGTTTGCCACGTGGTAAATACACCCCTGGATATGTGAGTCCATTCCACTCCGCACACGTACACAGAAAACGTGCTGGTCAAATCAATCAGCAACAAAAAACTGGCATCATCTAGAGGTTTGTAGGCTCCTGAAGTAGGCACTTGCCCTGGCGCACCCCTCCCAGTATCCACCACTGAAATCAACCCATGCAGTCCTGGCAACTGGCCCTTCTTAAAATTTCAATTTTATTTTCTCTTGCATACTTCGATGATGGCAAACTCCAACTGCAATTAATCAGCAGGAAAATTAAAAGCTGTAGCCAAAATTCTACTATATATGAGTGGCCTTTTGTTGTCCTTGGGTCCAATATTATACTATAAAATAAATATGGAGAGAAGGGGAGGTCACTGTATAATTAAAACTAATTCTAGTCAAAACTTAGCAGAGTTGTGGTAATGCGAAAGCTATGGAGCCGCAGTTGGTAGGGAAAAATATTTAAAGAGAATTTGAATCAGAAGGCAGGTTTTTCTTTTTAACTTGGAAGTCCTATTCTCCGCCCGTTAGTTAATTTATTTTATGTAATTTTGGGAAGTCAGGTTAGGCGCTCACTGGTCTAGGTACTCACTCCTAATCTCAAAACATGGAGAGTGCAAAGTACCCTCTTAAATTGTATATCCCCATCACCATGCACAATAAGAGATGGCATGCGACATTCTATTGTATATTTTCAACAAATTTCTTTTTGCATATTATAAACACATTGTAGCACATAACCTTACAACTATGTAACCTATAACTGTGCGTATTTGAGGACCTAAAGAGTAGTGGTTTTGGTTTAGCAATTCAATGAATCTTGTCTAAACCTGTTCTGGATTTTAAGAATTCATTTTTATTTTATCATACGTGTTAAGTAACAAAATATATTGCAAAAGCACTAATGAATTGAAGCAAAGTACAGTAATTATTTTGAATTAAGCAATGGTCTATTGCATGTCTTACGGGTAAATCTTATGACTAGTTACAAGTTGCAAAAAACATAAAAGGATGCATGTATAAGTCTGTATTGCGTAGTACTTTATGCTGGAGGTTAAACGTGCAAAATGTGGTTATTCCAAGTAGACAAATTAAATGTAACCGAACATCAACCATTCTGCTGATTTTGTCCCTTTTTATTATTATTTTTATCATAACATATTTTTTTTTTCTTTCCAGTTCTTATCAGGTGTTTGTGATCAATATGGTAACAGTGTGCTCCTTCACGTGTGAGTCTCTGGAGCCTGTAACATATTTTTCGAATAAATCCAAAGCTCTTGGCTATATCACTGCAGAATTCTTTCCTCATGACATTTCAGAACATCTGGAGTTTTCAGTTGGGGATAGAAAATACTATGGGGACTTTTACAATGCTCCTCTAGCAAGAGGGAAAGACTACTGCATAATTCTAAGGATT